GGAGGCAGCAATTTCCACAGTGTTCTCTACTACAAGTGGTCTCTACTATTTCAGATAAAAAACCACCTAGGGTCTTTGCAGAAGCTCCCATGATCTGCTATCACTTAAATGTGTCAGCAGGTGGCAATACCAGCAGGCTGATCGCTGGGTCAGAAGACAGGACCCTACAGAAAACCAATTCTCTTAGATAGGAGCCAGCCCCAAGGAAGGGCTGAAATGTGCCCAAGCAGCTTCAACCTTCCCTGGACCATCCCTCTGTGTGGGGTACAGGACAGACCCAGGCGGCTCTTGGCATGGAGGAGAGTAAGACGGCTCAGACGCACAGCCCACTCCCTCCCCGAGCTCCCCTGCCTGCCTTAGAGGGAGAAACAGCTCCAGGCTCAATCCCAGACCGCAGGTTCGCTGGTGGACTTGCAGGGGCCACCAAAGTGAACATCAGGAACCTTGAACCTGGAAGCGTCTGCTTCCCGCCCAGGAGGGTGTGTGACTGGCCAGCCTCCTCTAGAGGCTTCTAATTGACTCTGCCCCTCTTGAGCTGAGCCAGGTCTCTGTGTCCCACGTGACCATCCACGTTGACCGATCAGAAGTACACAAGGTAGCAGAGTGGGCCACTGACCCCAGAATGGCAAGCCAGCAAGACCCCCAAAAGCCCCTGAGGGCGGGGCGTGGGAGATAAAGGTAGAGCTATCGTGCCAGGGCTCAGAGCCCCTCTGGGGCGGGGAAGCCAGGTGTGGTTCACTGGAGCTCCGACGTGGCTCCAAACCACCCCCCGTTCACACCTGGGAAAGGCGAACCAGGCATCCGTTGTCTTTTCCCAATGGAGAGTGACGCACAGCATGATAGTAACAGTAATGATGATAATAAGTGGCATTTACTGAGCCCTTACTACGCCTTACTACCAGGCAGCGTGTTGAAGGTTCTCATGGATTAGCTCATTAAATCCTCATAACAACCTTAAGAGAGAGAGGTACATAATTGGTCCCGTATTACATGTGTCGAAATAAAAGTTGATGATGTTAAGTGAGGAATTTTCCCTTGTTGAGTGCCACACACCTCCCTCCCTACGCGCAGCCACAGCCTTCATTGCCTCAGAAGCTATGCCTTGCCCACAGGTGGTGGGCGCAGAGGATACAAAATCAAGAACAAAAACCAACCAACTAATGGGCTTCCCTGGTGGCGCAGCGGTTGAGAGTCCGCCTGCCCATGCAGGGGACGCGGGTTCGTGCCCCGGTCCGGGAGGATCCCACATGCCGCCGAGCGGCTGGGCCCGTGAGCCATGGCCGCTGAGCCTGCGCGTCCGGAGCCTGTGCTCCGCAACGGGAGAGGCCACAACAGTGAGAGGCCCGTGCACCGAAAAAAAAAAAAAACAACTAATAAAAAATAGAGAAAACACAGAAATTGATCGTGTCTCCTAACAGGCATTGTAAGAATCACAGCAGAGACCATCGTCTTGAAGTCCCAGGGGTTTTGATTGACAAAAGCACTGGGACTTTTTGCTTTGATGTTTTATAGAGAATGTATTTTCTACATTCCAGAAGTTTGACTTGGATTATGAAGAGGCAGAGCGGGAGGGACTGGCTGCTGAAAGCATCTGCCAACAACTGGGACTGGGAAGAAGGCAGGATGATGAATGGTGTAAGAATGACGCCTTCCTCCCACTCAGTCAAAAAAAAAAAAAAAAAAAGGAGCAGGAATAAAATAAAAAGGGATGGTGGGAGGAGAAGGAGGGAGAAGAAGCAGACAATCTACAGAGAAGCAGGCGGAAGACCAGAAAGGAGAGGAACCAAATTCACTGTTGGTGCGGGTCTCTGAGAGGAGCCAGTGCTCTCTCCTCCCCACTCTCTCCGCACCCACCCTGCACCCTCTCCATGACACCACTACTTTCAGAAGATGCGAGAAACCCAGCTGAAGTGTTTCCTGGGTTTATGCTGCAGGGAGCAGCAGAGGGAGGTTTTGAGCCTCCGGAACACACACACATACACAGACACATAAACACACACAGACACACAGCAAACGTCTGGGGCACCCACACACCCTGAGTGCCAGGGGTGGGGGCTGGTCCTGCTAGATGTCTTAAGGGCTGTCATTTCTCTCCTTCCCCCAGCTCACTGTGATGGCCAGGTCTCTTGCTCTGGGCACCAAGACTGACTGGGCAAGTGTTTTTCTTTCTTTGCTTTTTTATTGCATAAATAATTCAGTATATTATAACCTGAATAACATTTTCATGGCGAAAAAGAAATTACAGTTAAGCAAAAGGAAAAATAATTAAAATCCCACCATCCAGAGATGCTCACTATTAATAATTTGTGTGTATGTGCATGTCTACCTATAGAGCTATGCAAATTAGGTGTATTTTTATAGCAATACAGTTTCCAACTGGTTTTACAGTCAGATTGGGAAGGACTATAGCCATAAGTTAGACTATGTCACCAGTAATTACAAGGCTGCCCTTAATTCAGGAATTTCTATATAGTCCCATAAAGATAAAATAAAGGAAAAATCATAGCCATCTTGTGGCTGGAAGAATGTACCTCAGGGGAAAGAAGGGACGGAGCCCAGCTTCTGACCCAAGGATACAGTGCAGACCAGGCCAGACTCTGAGCTCTGGTCCTGATGCTGGGATGCCCCGGGTGCCAGTGTCAGGCCCAGCGGGGCCGAGCTGTCATTCTCTCCCTGTTGCCTGCAGACCCAGGACTTGGTTCATTTCCAAGTATGTGCAATGCCTTCTTGTAAAATGCCCTGAGTTAGAAACCCTCCTCTCAGGATCAGAGAGATCTGCACTGGGGAGCAGAAGGGGGAAAGTTGATCCCTAAGACAGTGAGAGCCCCAACTCTTTAGACCCCCAGAAGCTTGAGATCAACATCCCACCACAGTCTTAGAGACCCGTGTGAAAAAACTTGAAAAGCCAGGCACACAGGAAACATGTGCTCCCCATAATGGTTCAGATGAAATTATATTGTCCAGAACATTTTAAAAGCAAGCAGCTTATTCCAAACAGGGGCACACAGAGGCTACTGAAGTGCACTGTGAAAACTCAATAAAGGAGAACATCTAATGAAAACAGATAAAACATACCACTGCAATCACAGGTCAGGCATGAATGATTAACCTTGGGGAGTTTTCTATCCGTTCTGAGAACTATGGATTGAGTCTCTGGTATACAGTTTGGCAGATACTGGTTCTCCATTTCATATGAGAGCGGTTGAAGCAGGAAATGTTTTTATTTCTTCTTTAAATATATACTGTAATTGCCAGTCCACAATGACTAAACGTTATTATCCATCTGTTGGTTGTTCAAGGACCTGTAACCAGTAAACCTTAGCAGGTTCACGCCACCTTCTGTAGCACAGTGGCTGGGGCATGTACACCCAGGTAAAGTACTGAGAATTTGTTACTGAACATTTTTATAGAGACCAGGAAATGAAAACAGCCTTGAACAGGTTTAAAACTTCCGCTCAAAATTGTTTGATGAATTCTCACTGCAATCAGAATAGAATGTAAACTCTTTCGTTTGGTTTATAAGGCCTCCCATGATCTGGCCCCCTACTCTGGTGTCATGTCTATCGCTTCCTGACCTTCTCTGCATCAGCCATCTTGCTCTTCAAGAGTCTTCAAAGGTGTCAAGTTCTTTTCCAACTCAGGGCCTTTGCACATGCTTTCCCCTCTCCCTGAGCCATTCATCTCTGCTCCCACACTCTCTGCCTGACTTTCTCTTTCTCTTTCTTCAAGTCCCAGTTTAAATATCACCTCCTCAGTGAGGTCTTCCCTGAATGCCTTTTCTTAAGTAGCTTCTACCTGCCCACCAATATCATCTCAGCATCCTGTTGGTCTCCTCTAGGTCACTGCTTGCAGTTTAGAGTGGTTTAGTTGTGAGTTTACACGCCAGGCCTATGTCTCTCCCAGGGGACAGGATGGCAGAGATTGTGTCTGTATTATTTACCACCATAATTCTAGCAATAAGATGGATGGGTGGATGAACCATGCTATTTGCTGCTATTTGTTATTTTGGGGATGTAATGTGTAAATGGCAGATGTGAGTCAGGACCCATGACACAGTCACAGGGATTAGAGTCCAGGAAGCTCTGCCCACAGACCCAGAGGTAAGGCACCCAGGGGTGGACCAGCTGTACTTCGTGTCTCCCCCATTGCACCTGTCAATGTGGGCCTCTCTTTTGCCATGCACCCAAATTCCCCTTAGCCCTTCAAAATCCTTAGCTCTTTTAAGTCCCCATCAAGTCGCATTTCCTCCTTTAAAAAGGTTCTAGGTTCCTCAGTCAGAAAATCAAGAGACTCCTTAACACCCTTCTTCATGTTACAGGGCTCCTTCCTATCCCTCTAACAAGCATGGCCCTAACTCTCAATTCACTACTTGTGTTCTGTCTCTATCAGGCACCTTGGCTTTGTATGCTGGTTGTGATTTTCCTATCAGATGATAAGTATTTTGATTAGAGTCTCTGATTCTGGTGCCTCGCTATCCTGAGAGTTCTAGCTGTAGTGGACACAGACCTCCCCCGCCCCAGACGAATCCTAATGCTCTCCCATGGGCTTGTGGTTTCACGAATCCCTCTGCCTCAAACTCCAGTCAACGAGGGATTCCGGTTTTTTCAAAGTTTCCTTTGAAGAGGAGTGCCCCACAAAAAATCAACGCCCAAACAGAACATTTATAGGGACAGTAAAACTTCCTGAAGGTTTTGGAAACCGCAAAGAAATAAATCATATCTCAATTCCTGGAGCAATCAATCTCAGAACCCATCTTTTTGCATTCCTTTCTACCCGATTCCTTCCCAACTATCCATCCAGACTCCATAATCTTTCCTTAGGGTCCTCTTTTCCTTTAGTTCCCACCTCTCCTTTTCCCCCTCTTTCTCGGAACCAAAACAATTCTCCTTGTCTCTGGCAGAGAAAAGTAGTGATTATCTACGGAAGCTGAAACACGCATTAGGGGTGTCTCACACTCCACTCCAGGCTCAACATAGCAAAGCCTTTTTAAAATGTCTCACCTCAGCTTATGATCTTGCTTCAATATCCTCCACCATCTCTTCCAAAATGCCAAGCACACAGTAGGTGATAGAAAAGACTTGCTGAACATTGACTGGAGGACCTGGTTGACCTGGGGGGTCCTGGGGGGTAAAGCGTAAATATCATGAACGCTTGGTAGTGATAGGACATTCTAGGCTAGCATTCATGTCCCTGATCCTCCTGGTGTGAGAAGTAAGAGTTCCCTTTTCCAAAACCATAAGGGCAGTGCCATCCAGAGACAGGAAATCCATAGTTCAAATTAAAATAAGGTGGCAATAAAGTGACACACAAATACCCAGTTGTAAACGTGGAAGGGACTTAACTTAATCAAGCAAAAGGGCACAGCTTTTCTATTGCAGCATAATGGAAAGGCGTTTTACTACACTGGCAATTGGGAAAAAAGTCAAATGACTTTATGAGGCTTTTTCTAAATTACCTTTATTAATGCATGTAATATTTTTGAAAAATTATGCTACAGAGTAAATGTTCCATTGAGCTACAAGTTGCCTGCAGGAATGTGTTTGAAATATACGTGGCGAATATGTTACTATCTTTACAACTCATTTCACACTGACTTCACCCTTCTGAAACCAAACTAGCACCGAGTACTTGGAAAGGTATGGGTATTTTACAACAAAGTATACAGCATGGGTAAATTTGCAGATCCTGGAAATACACCAATTGTCAGAGTGTGAGAACGTATTTGGGAGTTTTCTCTTAGGACTTCTTTTCCCAGATCCCTTCATCTTTCTGATATGTAGACATTTACTTTTAAAAACCTCTTCCAGCTGATTTGAATAAATGTGTTTTGGGGCAGCTGACAGGCCTTTTCGTATTTATTGTACTTTTTAACGCTTGGAAACAGAAGATCTAATGGCTGAGGTGTGCCAGGAAGGATGCGGGTGAAAGCTTTTGCCTCTTTCCTCTGGTCGTTCTGTATGCATCTATCTTGATAGACAGTACATCTAGTTATGGTCCAGGGATTCCAAACACAATCTCTCTTCACCTCTGTAGTTGGCTCTGAGACCACCCTCTCACTTTGAATGTGCTAGTAATCCAGCCAATATAATTTCAGAGCCTAGGATTCAACATCAGTGTTTCAACCCAGATCTCTCCCGTCTTACAGCCTGTCGTCAGGCATGACCCCTGAGCTACTCCCTACCTTCATTCACTTTCATCTTGTTTCTGCTTAAGTCTCCAATCACTTTCGTGGTTCTAAGTCAAACTGATGGGAGTCATCTTGTCCTAATTTATGAGGCTATTTTACATATCCTGCTGCTTGCTATTCACAGTGAATTCTATAAACTGGTTGGAGAAGGAGAAGGGAGAGGGGAAAAAAACCAAGAGCAAAATAAGATGTAAAAAAAGGTAGGTCAGTGAGGCAAACTAAAATTGACTGCACTGCTTTACCTCGTGGATTCCTCCAGAGCTCCCACTTCAGAGAGGAAAAACATGCCGCCTCTCTGCAGACTGAAGCTACAACATCCCCGAGAAGCCACCATCAGCCAACGGATGTCAGGCCTTGCCCCTCTGTTCCCACTGCAGCTAGTTCCAGACTAGGAAGACTTCCAAATGCAAAATATGTCACATTTAGACATAACTTTTAAATTCTGTTTTTTAGTCATTCACACTCCCTTTCCTTGCTTATCTAACCCGCACCTTGGTTTTTCGATTCATTTTAGAAGCCCTTCTTCATATTCTTCTTTGGCAGGGTGATAGTGTATTAGAAGCACTTGGATCAAGTCACTCATGAGTAGCTGGTTGGAAATCATCAGCTAGGAAGGGGAACCAGGACCTCCCGCAGCCAGTGTTAGGGCTGGTGGATGAGATGTAGTGATTTCCCTAGTGTAGCTCAAGGGGTTACCTTGAGGTCCCCTTCTCTCACCATAGCTCCTCCACTGGCCTCCCACAGACCTGCCTTCCCACAGTCCTTTGAAAGTCAGTATATTTCTACAGCTGGCAGAATGTTGCCCATGGCTATTACAAGGAAGAACAATGATCTAAGATGCGTTTATCTAATATATAATAATTGATAATGTCTAAATTGGTTTAATTTTTAAGTATGTATATGTAACATACATGTAATATATATGTGTATATAGAAGTAAATATATTTACATATAGTATATGAATATGCACACAAATTTTTGATCAAAAAGCATTTTGTTTCTCCCATGGTATCCCATCTTCTCATCTTATACTATGCCAGCAAGCGTTCTGACCACACAAACAGCACAAAACTAGAGTGATGTTTCATTTCCCAGATAAGCAGAAAACGCCAAGTCACTGGATAGAGCTTAATCCATCCACCATGTGGTGATACCAACCATGTGCTAGGCACCATGTTAATTCCTAGGGACACAGAAGTGAATAAGATCCGTGCCTTGGGCTTCCCTGGTGGCGCAGTGGTTGAGAGCCCGCCTGCCGATGCAGGGGACGCGGGTTCGTGCCCCGGTCCGGGAAGAGCCCACATGCCGTGAAGCGGCTGGGCCCGTGAGCCATGGCCGCTGAGCCTGCGCGTCTGGAGCCTGTGCTCCGCAATGGGAGAGGCCACAACAGTGAGAGGCCCGCGTACAGCAAAAATAAATAAATAAAAAGATCCATGCCTTTACCTTCACTCTCAGCTGATGACCTGCTTCTTTGAGAAACGCAAGCAATCAGAAGAGAAATTCTATCCCCTCCCACTTTCCCACTTACCAACCCACTTGCTTTTACTCTGCCTTCCCTCCAGTGAGTAGGCTCTTATCTAAATCCAGCTCTCTCCGTTTGAATACTGGATCTCATCCTCTCTTGCCCACTTAAGGACACTAGTCCACTGAACATCCTCTCTATTCTGCATCATCTATTTTCCTCTGCTTTGAAGTCACTTATGACTTCCACATTGCCAAATCCAATGGTCAATTCTCAGTTCTCATCTTACTGGATAGATTCACAGCTCTTTACACAATTGAATCCTCCCTGCTCCTTGAAACACTGTCTTCCCTTGGTATGGATGAGCCCACTCTCTCTTGGCTCTCCTTGTGCCTCAGTAGGTCCTCTTTCTCATTCATCCTTGCTGGTTCCTCATCATTAATTACATCTCTAAATGTCAGTGCACCCTCCGCTTCCGTCCTTGGAATCCCCTTCTCCTCATACACTCACTCCATCCATTTCCATGAATATTCACTGATAACTTTCAAATATATATCTCTAGTCTAACATCCTCCTTGAATTATAGACACTTATATCCAACTTCCTTCTCAGTATGACCTCTTGGAGTTCTAATAGTGACCGCTAACTTTATATATCCCCAAATGAACCTCCATGCTCTAAACCTGGTCCTTCCTGGCCTTTTCCATCCTAGTTAATTGCGTTGCCATCCTTCTATTTGCATAGAGCAAAAATCTTGGTGCTATCTTTCACTCTTTATTTCTCTCACTTACCATATTCAATCCATCAGGAAACTCCATTAGTTCCCCCTTCAAAATGTTACATAAGTCACACCATGTCACTCCTCTGCTCATAACCCTCCAATGGTTCCCCATCCTACCCAGAGAAAACCTGCAGTCCTAACTGTGGCTTCCAAGGCTCTACATGATGGGCACTGCTTTCAGACACTTCTGACTCTATCTCCTATCACTCTCCTTCTCACTTGCCTTCATACTATTCTCAGAATATCACAAATATAATCCCACCTCAGGATCTTTGCACTTGCTGGTCTCTCTGACTAGAATGCTTCTCCTCTACATATCTGCATGGTTTGTCCCGCCACTTCCTTCAAATCTCTGACTAAATATTTCTCATAAGAGGTGTCCTTAGACCTCCTAGCACCACTTGTGTAAGTTCCTTGGGAGCTACTTTGTTCATTGCAACGTCCCCGTTACATAAAACATACTAGATACTCAATAAATACAGATCAGTGAACAGAATTACAAGCTCAGTCCTTGCCCTTAAGGAGCTCATAGTCTAGCAGAGCAGCCAGAAATATAAAAATACACTCACAAGGCAATGTAGGAGGTCAATGACAGAAAGCTCTGGAAGCAAAAAAAGAGACACAACTACTACCCCAAATTGGGGAAGATCGTAGAAAGCATCCTGGAAGAGGTGATAATCAGAGTATTAAAATTAAGGAGGAGTCAGCTAGGTGAGATGCATTGGTGGAGAGAGAGTAACGAATGGGAAGCACCGTCAAGAGCTTTTAGGCAGAGGGTCAGTGGGAGCAAATCCAGAGAACTCAGAAACTCTGTGCTACATGCCAGAACATGGTAGGAACCAGAAAAGGTAGAAACATATTCCTAAGTATAAACCAAGAGGACAGGAGTGGCAAGAGATGAGGTTGGAGACCGAAAGAGAGTCATATCATGGAGCACCTTCAATGCCCAGTTAATGAGCTTGGGATGTAGATGACAGTGAGACATTTCAAGGTTATATGCAGAGGTATGATGGCGTTATTCACTCAGGAACTCGATAAACTTCTTTTGAATTAATATAGGCAACGTGCCAACTGCTGGGCAAATGGCACTGCGGTCACAGTTATGGTCCAGTAGGGATGTCAGTGAGCAGCTACAGTGTAGGCAGGAATGGAGTACGATCTGAGCCAGATCACCTCCCCAGCAACATGGAGGATGGCTGGGAGGGAAACACACAGGAAGGAGTGAAAGATCAGCTGGAGGACTCATATTCCAATTCAGGCAAGAGATGATATCAAATTATCAAACCCAGGGAAGGAACAGTGTTCTCAGAAACAGTTGACACCCCGTATGTTGTGATCATAAAAGGTAGAGTTTATCTGGAATCTTCACTCCTCTTCCAGTACTTCATCTAACACCTGCTCTCTGGAAATGGATGTATGTTACCTCACAGGCTGCCAGAACCTTCCTGGGAAACCAGCACGTAGATGAATCTTGAAAATTCAGTCTGGCTACATCCTGAGAATTTCACATGCTGCTTCTCTGGGACCACACACTGAGACACTTTGCAAGAAAATTTAACAGAAAACAGATGGCAAATGTCGTGGGGCCTCACACAACAGAGGAAGCAAAGGAGTAAACCCAGAAACGAAGCGCTAGGAACAGAGTTCCTAGAGCAGGCAAAGAAGTGGTCACCTGCCCTCTGCCCCTTG